GTAAGAGGGGCTTATTTTCCCTCAACCTTGCCTTATTCCGGAAGGTCGATAGTAAGAAGAGGTACACACTTGACTAGGATGATGAGGGCTAGTGTTTGCCCCTAGCCGGCGCGCGCGGGAGGGAGAGTGAGGGAGGGGGTACTAAACCACGGGGTAATAATTTAGTCTACTGTGTAGTAGTAGTAGTAGTAAGTAGTAGTAGTAGTTACTCTAAGGAGTAGCCTAGCTAGTAGGACAATTTTTTAGCTGAACACAACAGGAAAAATGGTTCAGGCTGGACAAGGCCGCAAGTTCCAACTGTCACTCTGCAGATGATCGGGACGTATCGCAACACGGCCCCACGTTTCCCCTCTTCTTTTTTTGCCTCTTGTCTTTCTGGCTGTCTGATTGTTTGGCTGTCCGTCTCTTCCTTCCCTTTTCTTCTCCTCCCTTAGTTCGCTCCACTCGTCGTCAGTGCACCGACTTTTCTCATCTTTAGCCACCGACAGGCCAGCAACGCCTTCATCGGACAGGGTTGAAGAATGCGATCGCAGTGCTGATCCCAATATGAACTGCAGGTATCCCCATCTACATCAATATATTATTAGCATGACGCCGACGTTGCATTCATCGGACGGAGAGCAGCAGGGTACTTGCCTCGACACGACTCATAGTAGCCGAGTTTCACTCCCATGACTATCATCTGAACAGCAACGTGAATCTATCACCATAAATCTAATAGATCTCCCAAAAGGGAACAACAATGTGCCGAATAACAAGCTAGATCATAGCTATCTACGATACATCTCACAACTCAGCTCAACTTGAAGATATAGTACTAGAACCCACCCACTAACTAACATCCTCAGCCAGCAACCGCACTCACAGTAGGCTACTTACAGCCCCATCCACAACCAAAGATCAGCTACACTAACTAAAACCTCCTAGATTAACCAAATATTTCCCACCGACTAGTCTATATCTAGAGTCACACACACACACAGACCCAACCAGGGAAGCATTTAATGGTCCATCCAATAACCACCCGCTAATCAACTAGAGGCGGCCCGCCCCGAAGCAAATCCATCATTGCTCGCTGCCTCTCTTTTCCCCTCTTCCCTTCGCCTCCTCTCACTCATACTACCTAAGTACTTAGTGACCAACCCCCTCAGTTAGCTAACCAGAATACGGAAATCGACTAGGTAGATCATCACCATTATCACCATCGCCATCGGTTTCTTCATGTGAACATACTTACACATACACACATACATAATCTAATATATAGCGAACTGAAACAATAAAACAGGATATAGTACATACTATAGATAAACCCCCCATCGCATCCATGTTAACATTTAGGCTCCAGAGTAACGCCAATTGGTCCACACAACTCACTACTAAAGTAAGTAGTTCACGGCAAATTTACTCCCTTCTGGTAAAGCACCCCGTAACCCCAACGAAGGATTATATTGAGTTGAAATCCTGAACTCGGAACATGAGCGAGGGTGAATTAAGTATCTAGTTAAGGAAAAACAGATAGTTAGTCAGACACTCCGATCGATCGAGAGAAAGAAATAAAAAAAGTACTACATCAACTTAATCAATTACACACACTACTTTAGCAAATCTCACCGCCCCAAAAATGGAATCATGACCCATTATTATTATTGTAGAATCTTGCAGAAAAGAAGGGTCAGTAGATCTGGAAGCGAAAAATAAAAAGCAATAAGGGAAAATAAAAAGCAAAAATAAGAGGGGAAAAATAAGCCAGCAGAGAAGCACAACAAGACAAGGCGAAGCTAGAAAGTGGAGAGACAGTGTGAGATGAGAGAGAGCCTCGGGGGGTTCTGGTTCTGGTCCATTCCAGCCGGAGGTTCCACGCCCGCCACTGACGTTGCTAAAAGGGAAATAACAAAAAATAAATAAATAAATAAATAATAAAAGAAAGAAATAATCAAAGGGCTGTGGCGGCTGTTCCATCATCATCATCATCATCATCATTGTTACTCAAGAAGTGGGATGGTCCGTGTTTTGGCGCGAGAGTAGACTTTCTACCTTGAGATAGATAGTCAGTACTCCACTACTACTACTACTACTACTACTACTACTACTACTACTACTACTACTACTGCTACTCCATCATCTAGACTATCTACTTAGTTCGGAGGAACTTGCAGGAGAGGAGGGGGTGAAAGGGAATAGTAGTGAGGGAGGGACGGGGAGGAACGGAGAAGACAGTCAGCGGAAGTACGGAGTAGTATCTCTCTCTCTAGTCTCTACTACTATAACCACGGAATTATAATGAACAGCACTAAATATATTAATCTAGGGCTGGTACACACATCTAAGAAGTAAAAAAAAGTAAGAAAACCAAGGAAATGCAGGCCCGGGAGCCGCACCCAATTAAGTGCCGCAAGCCCCCGATTTGCGGTTGGCGCTCGTGCTGACTCTTCGCCCGTTAGTTACTGGGGGAAGGAAGGGAGGGAGGGATGGATCTATCTAGTAGTAGCGCAGATACGAGGCTCCATCTCAGCGTCATCATCATCAAATATGTAGTAGTCTATGGGTATGCTGCTGTTGTTGCTGCAGCACCACGGCTCTAGGTAAGCCGTGCTGCGTATTTAGCTTCCTTTGCTTACTAGTTTAGCTGACTAGCTAGTTAGTTAGCACACCACTTTTCATAACCTGACCTGACCCCCAACCACCGCCCCTCATCCACACCCACCCCCCCTGCTAGTTTAGTGCGATGACTACTGACCCGGGCTTACTGGCGCTTGGACTCGTTCGGCTTTTGTACGCCTCCCGTGAATGAGGCTAGTGTGGTTTCGTTCTTTCTTTTTCTTGCATGCATAGGGTCGGTCACCTTGCGGCGGTTTGGGTAGTACGATGTTGGGGGCTGAAGTGGGCAAGTAGAAGAGTAGGTGAAGGAAGAGAGGTATGAGTTGAGCCCATATTAGCTTAGTATATTCGGGATTTGAGGGTTGACTTTTACTTCCTTCCTTTCGGAATCTCCGGCTGGCAAGGCTGTTTCTCATCCATGGTTGTGTTGTGTGTGTGTCTGTCTGTGTGCCGGCTTGCCGTCCATAGTATACATGGGTGGTCATGCCACGGGAAAGGCAGAAAACAACTAAGCCGTGATATCTACTCCACTCAGGGTGCTAGACCTTGTGAGGCAATGTAAAAAGTTCTAGGGATGAATTAATATATGTCTGTTTGCCCTGGCAAGGAAAACCAAGTAGTTAATTGTTTACAGCCTGGCCTTTTGGCTCAACTGGGCCTGAACTTTCTTAACCCGTTCCCAGGCCTCCAGCGCAAAAGGCTCCGTATTTCTAGCATATTCCGCAGCGCGGGCACTACTGGCCTGTCTCAGGGCATATCTCGCCTTGATACCATGCATAATAACCGAGCTTCTCCAAGAGAAGAAAGCATCGCCCCATGGGATATCCCCAGTGGGGTCGTAGCCGGACACCTCACGATACCAGCGGATGCAGTCCTCTCGAGCGGGCAAGCCAGGCACCACCTTCGGGACGAACATTGCCTTCTTGTGGTCCACCCCATCGAGGAAAAAGGGACTAGTGAGGTTGCAGAAGTCGGACAGAGGGTGCCCCACCGTGGCCATTTCCCAATCCAACAGGCCAATGACTCGCGGTTCGGATTTGTGAAATATCATATTATCGATCTTATAGTCCCCGTGCACGAGCGTGCCGCGGTCTTGCGGCTGCGTCGTCTTGTCTTCGAAGAAACGCACCATGTCCATGAAATGAGGCAACTCTCCGACAGGTTCCTTGGTCTCCACATCCACGGCTTGTGCCTGCGCCTGTGCAACTGCTGTGAAGGTGGCGATCTGTCGATTATAGTACCCCGTCGGTTTTCCGAACCTCTCCAACCCGACCTTTTGGGGTACTACCCGGTGGAATTTGGCTAATGTCCGGACCGCATCCTGCCATCTGTTGGTAGGGGGGTTGCAGTCGTTAGCTTCTTCTTCCCGCTTCCATGTAACAGTAGCCGCGTCAGGCGGGTTGTATCATCCCGAAAAGGCAGGGGGGAGGGAGGAGGGGATGACGTACAATGCGGTTCTCTCCGCCGGGTCGACCCCAGGCATGGCAGGATCAGTAAAGTGTCGTCCGTCTAAGAATTCCATGATGTAGAAGGGGGTGCCGATTACGCTGCTGTCCTCGCAGAGACAGTATGCTTTGGGGACGGGCACGTCGGTGTTTCCTAGGGCATGGATGATCTTGTACTCGCGCTCGACCTTGTGCGCTGTCTTGGAGAGTAGCTTGCCCGGGGGCTTCTTGCGCAGGACATATTTGCTGCCGTCGGCGGTGGTGAGTTGATAGGTAGGGTTGGACTGGCCAAAGCCAAACTGTAGCGTGTAAGTTGTGTGTGACCAGATGAAATAAATCAAAAAGGAGCCGTCATATACCTGCTTCACATCCAAGGGGGTCTTGATATCGGGTACATTGAGATTGAGATAGCGTTCCAGAGAAGGAACATCAATAGGTTGGCGCACCGCTCCAGCCATATCCAAGACAATGCGAACGTCAACAACAACAATATGCTGTGAGACTATATGCAGCACCACCAATTTCTATAAAACGTAGCAAAAGCGGAGAACAAGTCACGCTGGGGATGGGAACAAAAACCCGGGGATAGCCCCGATCTCAAGCCAGCCAGCCACGGCCCGCGGCTCACCTGAAGGGGGCGCTGCGGGGAGCCTCGGCTATCCTGGATTCCTTACCTATCTAGGTTTAGTCCAATCCCCAACTCACTGACTGTATCAGAATTCAGAACCAAAGATCAAATCAAACAACCCAAACCCGCCAAGCCCATTAAAACGCGCCTCGCGTCTCCCTTCACCGCCAGACGCGTTCCCCCAAATCGATTCCAGCAACCCCAAATTAAAAAAAAAAATAGAAGAACCCACTATGAAGGGCCTCGCCCTCGCCCTCGCATCTCGTCGATTTACACAACACACCGCATTTCCAACACCTCTTCAGCACCTTTTCAGCCGAAGAAGAAGGATACTCCAATTTTCTTCCTCCCCACTACACACCACCCAGATAATGACCAAGGAGACCACCCCTCCTCCCACCACTACCACTACCAACGAACCTACAACAACAACAACTCACGAACCCCCCTCCCTCCCCGCCTCTCCCCTTGCCAAACGCACCAAACCCAACACCGATACCACAGACACAACTACATCATCCACAATGGGCTCAACCAGCACCCCTCTCCCCCCTCTCCAAGTGAAGAAGCTCACTCCCACGGGCCGCGCCCCGACCCGCGGCTCTGCCTTCGCGGCCGGATACGACATGTACAGCGCCAAGGAGACCGTCATCCCTGCTAAGGGGAAGGCGTTGGTTGATACGGGCATTGCTATTGCTGTGCCGGAGGGGACGTGTACGTACCAACCTACCCATAACTATATATACAAAAGACGAAAACTGATAATGTTGTGGTATAGACGGCAGAATCGCCCCCCGCTCCGGCCTCGCCTCGAAGCACTTCATTGATACTGGCGCGGGCGTCATCGATGCAGACTACCGGGGAGAGGTCAAGGTTCTTTTGTTTAACCACTCGGATGTGGATTTCGAGGTGAAGGAGGGAGATCGTGTTGCGCAGTTGGTTTTGGAGAGGGTATGTCCCAATTCTTTTTCTTCTATTGTTTGGATGGTTGTGGAGGGGTGCCGATTGCTAATTGTAATGTGGTGTTAGATCTATACCCCTGAGGTTGTGGTTGTGGAGGAATTGGCCGAGAGTGTTCGTGGGGCTGGTGGGTTTGGAAGTACTGGTGTTTAAATTAGGGGTTCTTTGAATAGGGTTATGTTAGAGATATGGCGTGTATGGCTGAATGATATCCGTATAATTGGGATACAATTACAATAAAATTACATGAATGTGAAGATAGATGTCATCTATGTTTGGTCCGTCACTGCATTTCATCATGACTGGTGGTATATAATCAACACCCGTCTATAACTAATCTAGAATGCTCAAACAATTCGCCGCCCATTTAGCGATAGGATCAACGAAACTGCGCCGGCAGATCCTCCCGTCGCCACTCACTCGCCTGGAACTCCACCTCCGGTTCCCGCAGATACTGCGCATGCCGGACCACCCGTACTTCTGCCGCCTTGCTCTCTCGCAGATGCGCCCTCTTCTGCTGGTCCTCCTGGCTGAGCAGCTTCTCGCCCTCATCCGGAACAATAGCGCGCAATTCGGCATCTCTCGCCTCCAACGTCTTCTCCAGTACGCAGTGCATACTCGCCAGCACCTTCCGGGTAGACTGGGCAAGGGGCAACTCCGTTGCAGGGACATGGTCAGGCGAGACCCACGACTTAGTGTGGCGGAGATTTGCATCGGCATTGAACACGGCCTCGCGGAAGCGGGCTACCGTGAGAGCGGCGAACATGTCGCCGGTACCGCTGAAGTAGCAGTCTAGGGCGGGGACATCGATGCGGAAGAGACGCGGGGCGCCGTCAGAGCGGGTGGTCGAGCCGATGACGGTGAGGGTGTTGGGGAGAGGAGAGTCGGAGAGGCTGGCGATTTGCACGGAGGTGATGATCACGTGGGGGATATTGTAGATGGCGTGGAGGGCGGTGATGGCTTCAGCGAGGGTGGCGAGGGAGGTGATTTTGATGCCAGAGAGTACTCTGCTTTGGTTAGAGGGAGCAGCAGAAGTAAGGATAAAGGGATGGATTACTCGGCTTCGAATTGGTTGGGGAGAATAAGGTCTGCGTGGCGGATGACCTTCTTGTAGGCGGGAACGACGTCGTCGTTGACGTAGAGACGGCCTTGGTCGCCCATTACGGGGTCCAGGACTGCGCATGGTTATTACTGCCATAACATAGAACAGAGAGAGGGCAGCTCACCCCAGAAGAAAGAACCGGGATTTTTTTCCGCTTTGCGCTGGAGATCTATGCCAATGGCCCCGACGGCTTCAACGGCAGCTGCACTGGGCGCATAGCCAGAGAGCATGGCATCAAAATCAAGCAGGTTACTCTGCGTGAGACCCTCATAGAGCGCGGTGATCTCCTCTGCCGTGGCCCTAGTGCCCTTGAACTGTCTATAACCGGTGTGGTTACCTGAAACTTTGTTAGTAGGGTGATTACATATATGATATATGCCAGCTTACTGAAGTGCACTGTGTTCAAGGCGGCGACATCACAGCCCATGAGCTGCATGACCGCAGTGGCCATCTTATTGCCCACATATCTGATCCGTCAGTATGGGTAGGGATTGGATGCGACGAGACATCATGATAGATAGGGGTGTTATCAAATATGACACATACCCGTAGACAACCTAGACCCTTGTCAGCAATGCATTGGGGGTAGGTACCATTGGGGGTACATCCATGGTGGTTGGGGGAAAACATACATGGCTGGCGACAGCCAAGACCCTGGTCTCAGGGACGAGAAGATCGGCGGACATGATGAAATGAAGGGGAGCTGGGTGGAGGAGAAGAAGAGGAGCAGGCGGGCAAGGAAGGGAACAGTTCGATGTCTTTCCTTCCTTTGGGTCGGCGATAGGCGAGGTGGAACCTCCTGGGTTTGCCGCGTTGTTGATTGGCCCACGGGGCCGGCGTGCAGCCCGTGCTCCCTCGGGAGTTTTTGATTTATCTTATTAAGGGATTTCCCATCCGGCAGTTTATTTTCCTGTCTTCTATCTGAATAGTAGTTCTCTGGGTCGAAGTGATAAGAATAGCTGTTACACTCCTCGAGTCAGTCGTGACGCTAATCCTGGTGGCGCCAGTTTCAGACGAGAACACAACAGGCAGAATAACCGAACTGTCCGCTATGCTCATTGACTTGTGAAAAGTCCTTCTTTTGCTTTGTACTAGGAGCAAGGAGTCCAATCAGTTGCCCTGCTAAGAATAAACCCTGAGGGTCCAGACTCTTTGCCCGTCGGTCTAGTCTCGACTGTTCCATCCAGCAGCCTATACCAATTATGCCCGTTTTTTCTTTGGCGCACGGCTCACTCCGTCAGGCACGCCCCTGACCCTGCTCGTGTGTCTTGTCCACAATGTGCCATGGATCTAATCCCGTTGTGTGATTGATCCCGTTGTAGTACAGTAGCCTCATGGTTTAGATTAAAGCTGCCCTCCCCCATCCTGAAGTGCCCTAATCCGTCCTTCCATCCGTCTATCCATCCATCCCCCTTGCCCTTCCACCGAGCAGCCATCCCAAGACCATGTAATTGGACAACCACATTCCTTTGGATTTCTTTGCCGTCTATATACACACTCTCTCTTCATCTAAAATCTAGTCCCTCATTGAGGAGATCCAATTGACCATCACCACCATGGTATCCATCTACCACACGCCGCGTGCACGCCCAGCACGACCACACCAACACCAACACCAACGATCACTCCTTCTCTTAACCCTACTCGCCCTCCCATCCGTACTAGGATCCGTGCCTCCATCCAACGCAGAAATAAGCAGCGGAGAGATCGTCAATGCGGATCACTCCGCAGCACATACCACCACCACAGACCAACAACTATCACTATCACCAGACATCTTCACCAACGACGACACCCTCACCCTCACCCTCCACCCCCGCACCACCACCTCCACCAACAACACCTCCACATCCACCTCCTCATTCCCAACCGCCTTCGACACCTCCCTAACCAACAACTTCACCACAACCACCTGCTCCACCTTCTTCCACACCCTCCTAACCAACACGACCCTAACAACCTGCCACGCCATCTCCCTCCTCCTCCGCGACTCGACCTCCTTCTTCCACGCCCTCACCTCCGCCCCAACCACCTCTTCCATCCTCGACACCGCCTGCGCCTCAGACCTCTCCACCTGCAGCACCGCCCTCACCACCCTCGCCACTTCCCTCCTCCAATCCTCGACCTGCCTGCACGACTACAACGCCGGAAACCAAGCCGTGGTATCCCTCTACACAGATCTGATTGTCTACGCGCCCATCTACCGCGCCACGTGCCTACAGTCCCCCACGACGAATAACTATTGTTTCGTGGATGCGGTTACGAATACCACGAATGCCGTCGACTATGATGTGTATTTCGTGCCGTATGGGAGTGCCATTTCGACTAAGCCCTGGCCGACTTGTAATGAGTGTCTCCAGGCCACTTTGAATGTGTATAAGGAGTATGCGAGTGTGGATGGGCAGCCGCTGGCGGGGAGTTATTTGCCTACGGCGAGGGGCGTGAACGGGGTTTGTGGGGAGGGGTTTGCGGATGTTAATGTTACGATTGGGGTCGTGGGGGATACGGTTAGTAGTGGTGGTGTTGGTGGTGTGAAGGATTGGAGGGGTGGGTTGGGGTTGGGGTTGGTGGTGGTAGGGTGGAGTGTTGGATGGGTGATGATGGGGGTATGATAATATATGATGTGATATGGTTATGGGTTACATATGGAGGGCTATTCTAATGTCTATACTTTAATTTCTCTTATCTACACTCACTCATTCACTCATTCACCACTCTCGCTTAGTTTGAAGGTATATGGAAATATAAAATAGTATCTTATTCAAAACCAGGTATATCCAGCCCGTAGGCAAATAAATATCAAACAGTGCAGAAGAATATCAAAATGTGGTTGCCACTATATCATGTCGTCACATATTTCATGATACGAATAATCGGGGTACTGTCGGTTTGCTAACTGCGTCGAAAACTGTCGCCCAGCGCTACCCCTACCAGGCTTTGAGGCCCGAAGCTCTCACTCCCCAAGCCTGACGCTGGGCTCTGCGTTGATGCGTCTCTCTCCCGCTTGATCCGGAAGAAGGCCAGCTTGGTGAACCGGTTGAGCTGCGCCCAAAAGTGTCGTCCTGCCGGATGCGCCGCAATGCGCTCCAGGAGATCGACCGCTGCCTCGCGCACCGGCTGGTGTGGGTGGAACAGTCCCATGCCGAGGTAGAAGAGTCCCGCTTGGTTCTCCGGAGTCACGGTCAAAAGCTGGCAGATGCCTGCGTAATCCTTGACCGCATGCGCAAATGAGATGTAGATCGCCCCCGCATCGGCTGGCGGCAGCCTCAGCGCCCGTAGCCGGTCATGATGATGATGCAGGTCCGGCTTCTGAATCGGCCGTGAGGGATAATACATGGCTGCAATGTCTTGAATAAAGGAGTAATATGATCGCGTCGTCCGCCAGCCTTCAATCCTTGCCACCGACGCCATCAGCTCGCGTTGCTTGGAGCCCTCGTCTGGCCACACGTAACCGTGTCCGCGGAGCGTTGTCGGATCAAGCGGATCCGCCTGAAGGCCGCTTGGGCTTTCGGGCGAAAGCTCTTCGTTGGGCCCGATAACATACAAATTGGACGCCCCGTAGACCGTCTCCTCGAAGGCAGCAGCAACACGGGTGAATTTGGTGATATAGGCGCGCCACTTCGCTCGGATGGCATTCTCGCCGTATCGGTTGGTGATGCTGCGCTGGACCTCCTCCATAAAGACATTGTCTCCACTGGGATCTGAATTGTTACTCGGCGGTGGATGGTGGTTCATGGCGGCTTGCTGCTGGAAGTACAAAAGTCCTTCGGTAACAGGGGCCGGTTCGATGTGGCTGCTGATCTTCATTCGGCCCGTGGGCAGGTCGCACAGCACATCCCACCACTCGGGGTGGTTGGCAAAGGTAGGATTTGTCACGCCAGCAATGAAACCAGGGACCCTCAGTAGATCATCGATCTTCGTCAAATCGGTGTACGGGAACGCATGTCTGGTGAATCCGCGCAATATACCGCCCGACGCAAGGGCGCACGCCGCCAACACTGCCTCGGCCACCTCGCCTGAAGGGCGATTATGCCCCAGGAATATCACACGCTTCTGAGTCAGCATAGCGTTGACGAGGACAATGATCGGATGGGTAAAAGGTCCGCTTGTGGTGAGGTGGGGGTGGATGGGAAAAGGCTGTGGCGAGGCCGCATGCGGAGCAGAAAAGATTTGGATGAGCTTGATCAGGGAAAAGTCGCCCACAACCTCCGGCCAAATGACCGTTGGCACCTTGACAGGAATAGGAATGTCGTTGTAGACGATCTTAGACTCAAACTCGTGGGTATCTCGGGGTAGCGTGTATCGAGGGGCGGCCGGCCTTTTCGGGGACGGGGGGTCGTCGTCGAAAGGCGTGCCGTCTTCAACTTGTCGCTGGTGGATCATCTGCTCGAATTTCTCGATAAACATATCCTTACAGTTGCTCGCCTGCAAGATCAGTCGTTCTAAAAGAGATAGCCTTGGCATCAACGACAGGTCCATGGCGTTCACGGCATTGTATAACGATGCGAGCGTCTCGGGGTAGGGGTTCTTGAAGTAATCCTCCAGGGCCAGGAGAAGTAGAGGCTATCGTGGCCGGTCAGCTCCATCACATGCGCTGTACTGGGTGAACCTACTTTATATATATGTAGGAAAGAATGTCGCGTACAAATCGCCATGGCTTTGACAACTGCACCACTGTGATTGTTCAGTATTGACTAGGTAGCCGGAAAACCATGGAAGGACATACCGCTTGACGGAATTATCTTGCTTCGTATTTACAAGGTTGAGCACATACATCAAGGGTGGCCCCTCGCCACCCTCTTCTTCGTCACTGCTCTCCTCTTCGGTTGACCCGTCGACATCCTCGCTATCCCCGTCGCCGCTCTCCGCATCCCCTATCCGGGACTTCTTTTTCTTCTTCTTTTTCTTGCCGGTACTGGCGTCGTCGTCCTCATCGGCATCCGCGCTCGTGTCCTTATGTAGGAAAAAGATTGTCCAGTCTTGGCTCCGAACGTGCGTCTGATCGGGAAGCATCAGCTCTGCTAGCATGCTCTCATCGCCACTGATTGCGGCGGGATACTGATGCTCCATGATCGGGCCGCGGTCAATGTGGAACGAGGCCACGAGGATGTATTCGACATGTCGCTCGGGCGAATCTCGGGGGTATTGCGATTTGCATCGTCGCGGTTTGGGATACAGAGCAGAGGGACCATTGCCCAGCGAGCGACGGCGCGCCGAGTTCCCCGAACTACTGGGGGTGCGCCGATGGATGATGGAAGGGGAAGGGGAGAGGCGGGGATGGCCATTGGCCTTGGAAGGATTGGTGGTGGCCGCAAGCGAGAGGGTGGAATCGTCAGTAGGTCGGTAGGGAAGTGAGATGCTCATTTTCTGGCCGGGGAACAGGGGGTCGAGGTGGGCACGGGGGTCATTCAGATCGAGAGCGGATCGGGGGTGGCAAGTGATAGCTCCAGAGGACCGGCGAACAATGAGCACGAGGATAACGATAATAGCAGCATACTCGATCAATTAATCCCAGTAGAAAACCGAGGCGACCTGACTCAGGCAACTGATACTGTCGAACTGTCAGTCATTGTCGGGGATCATGAGCCAGGGCGGACTTTGGGGGGGAGAGAGGTTCGTCGATCGGAGGATTACTCGGGATAGACTCAGGGGAAAAAGAAAGGGGACGAGAGCCTCCAAAGCCCACGCACCGACGATGATCTCCACAGCGGGGAAAGGCGACGGGAGACAAACCAGCACCACCGACCGCCATGGCCTCAATGCACGCAGTTGAGGGGGAAGTAAGAGTAATTGCAATGGGACGTGCAATGGGCACGGGAGATCTAGGCCATGAGATCTAGACCAGCAGATAGTAATCTATTTTAGATCGATGATAATAATAGAGAAGATGCCAATGATCGGATCTCTTTCTCCGTGCAGTTCGATTGAAGGAACTTCAGACTTGCAGCAACTGCCGCTTCTTGCCTTTCTTGGGCCCCCGCACGTGCCCCCTCCGTCTCGGCCCGACTTGAACCCCCGATGCCTTGTTGTTTGTTTGGCTGCCTTTCCCCTTCTGGGAACTATGTATGAATGGTTTATCTCCATCTCCCATTCTATCCTGCCATCTTTTCCCCTCTTGATCCTTCTTTGCTGTGTGTGATACTCCCAATCTGATAGGGAATTTTGTACAGTTGCATATCATCGTCATATTTATTCTCCACAGTGTTTACTCCAGCATGGTAAGTACTCATCCTCCCAGTTTCCTCCCTCCGCACTCCGCTCACCGCCGTATCTACAGGTCTCCTCCAACGCCCCCTTCAGGCCATCGCCATTATCATTTGGCTCCCCTCGACCCTCCCCTTTTCGCCGTCCTTCCACGCCCAACTCCCCTCCTCAGGGCCGTTCAAGCACCCCCGGCAGTTCCCCCGGTCGCGGATACACCCCGGTCCAGTCTCCGAGCAAACTCAAGGAATCATACACAGTCGAGGAAGATGACGGTTCATCGCCCAAAAGCAAGCCCAGGAGTCCCATTGCGCAGCCCCGATTCACACGAGAGGCGCCCCCCTCGCCGACGAGGGGCGCCAATGCCCCGGATTCGTCGCCGTCGTTGATGGAAGCCAAAGCCACGAACATGATGGCGGCGTCATCTGATGCAGCAGCCAAACTTCCCCCGGCACAACTGCGGGAAATCAGAGAAGCCTTCCAAGTCCTGGACCGAGATAACGATGGTTTGGTAGATAAGGACGATGTGGCGGATGTGCTTACGAACGTGGGTATGTAAAAGAAGGCTAGCTAAAAGCTAGCTAGTCGATCATCTTAGGGCGATGACATATGATACTGACGCAACGCTGCTCAACAGGCCAAGACCCGACTGCCATTTCCAAGTTCTTCCCTCTGGGAGGTCCCCAGACTATGAATTTCCCCACCTTTCTCAATACCCTCTCACAGCTGCTCGCCCCTCTTTCTTCCCGCCAAGAGCTCATGAATGCCCTAGCGGCCTTCGACGAGGACGATAGCGGTCAGATCGATGTCGACGAGCTGCGCGATGCTCTCTTACATACAGCGTCCGAGGACGGAGACCATCCACTAAGCGACCGGGAGATCAATGAGGTACTCAGTGGGTTTACGGGGCGCCGAGCATTTGGTGGGAAAGGTGCTCGGGCAACGGGCGGAGGAAAGAGGGGGGAGGTATTCCGATACCAGGACTTTGTCAGTGGAATCATGGGAGGGACAGAGAATGGATCGACGAATCGCCGCGACGCCTAGTAGATAGCCGCAACGGCGGAGTGGGAATTATTGCTTATAGTTCGGTAACGGCGTTCGGATGAGGAGGGATACCGATAGTTAGGGAACCCGACTGGCTCTGGCAGCCATTGACCTGCAATTTTGGATTTCCGTAGAGACAACAACAGCAACAGCAAATACACCAGCAACACCATGTAGATACCTTTCAGGGCAGCTCCATCTGCGGAAAGTTAAACATGACAGCCAGCCAGGAACATGTCACGATGGAATTAAAGTTGACAGGGCGAAGAACGAGAACCAGACAAGACAAGACTCGTGGGCCCGTGAGGAATAAGGCCAGGAATTTCCCATGGCAACTGAGCTTTTTTGCTCGCTTCGTCGCGTGTCCCCGCATTCCGTCCGTCGGCAGAAAAAGGCCCGCCATCAGATTGAAACTCTGAAGAGAGAGAAAGAGAGAAGAAGAGAGACACTAAAAATTAGTGATGATCCCAAGCTGCAGCAGAACCCCCTAAGAAGCCATTGATTTCTTGCATCCGTCCGGCGTCGTTTCTTTTCTCCAACCATTCATTCTCCCCCATTCCCAACCCTTATTACTTACTCTTACGTGGTATAAATATCTCCAAGATCCTTTTTTTTTTTTTTTTTTTTTTTTTTTTTTTTTGTCTATCATTATTGTCACTATAATATTCATGGATCATCTTCCTGTCCTTCTTTGATTCCACGTTCAAGGAAGATGGTTGTATCTCTGCGCCAGATGCAGACCCCCAACCCCAATCCTTGCTGATCCAATCGAGCGTCTGTCCGTCACACCTGCAGCAGAGCCCACTCTTTCTCTCCCTCCACTCCTCCAGCCCAGCCCAGCCCAGCCCAGCATGGCGCCCTCCGAGTCCTCTCCTTCTCCCTCGTCCTTCCATCCCACCCAGGCCCAGCTTAATCTCGCTGCTCTGGCTGGGTCACCTTCACCGCGGACCATGCGAGGCTTGCGCAAGATCCAGTCTCACCAAATCCTCTCATCTCACCCACCTTCTTCTGCTCATCATCCGCCGTCGGGGCGCTTGTCTGCTGGCGCCGAGGAGCTCGCCCAACCTCCTCAGCTGGACTCGCCCGTGCGACTGCGCTCGCAACGCCGGGCGCGCTCCAACAGCGATGCCTCGTCTCGGGAGGCCCCTGCGATAGGAACTCAAAAGCGATCGGCTAGAAAGACGGGTTCTGGGTTTGGAATCAAGCGCTCGGTCTTGGAGACTCTCCTCCGGGACGGTCCGCACCAGGGCAACCTTCAGGAGGGTCTCCAGGAGCTCCGGTACCTCGTTCTCTCGACACGAGTTGAAGCAGACGCGGATGGCATGGTATGTAGCCCGCCCCCCTCGTGCTCTTTCTGCCCCTCGTGGAATCAAGAGCAACACGTTCACTAACACTATCGCGACAGTCCACCTACCGAATCTACCTCTGGCTCGTCCTTCTCGATGTTTCTCCTGTTCCAACCGACGAATACCTCTCCCTCATCCACCGTGGTCGCTCCCCAGCCTACACCAAAATCCGCAATGACACATTCCGCACGATGGCCACAGACCCCCTATTCAAACGCCGCGTTACGGAAGCCAGCCTGATCCGGCTTCTCAATGCTGTCGCATGGAAACTTCACGATGCAAAGAATAAATACCGATCGCGATCGCGTCCCTCGTCACGTCTCCGAGAGATTGAGCTTTTGATCAACACACCTCCGAGTATTGAAGAAGAGCCCTCCCCATCTGGAACACCAGGTAGTGTTGCCAGCAGTCGCGGCGGCGGCAGCGGGATTACAAATGAATCAGCGATCTACGTCCAAGGCATGAATGTGCTCTGCGCTCCATTCCTCTACGCCGCCCGCAGCGAAGTCGAGGCCTTTGCCCTGTTTCACTCGTTTATTACACGCGAATGTCCGGGTTACATCCGCGGCGCCATGGATGGGGTTCATCGAGGACTGCGCTTGGTCGATCAATGTTTAGAGATCGTTGAGCCCAAACTAGCGGCGTACCTCTTCTCTAAGGGCCTACAGGCGAAACTGTATGCATTTCCATCGGTGTTGACCCTCTGCGCGTGCACGCCTCCTCTTCCGGAAGTGCTTCATCTTTGGGACTTTTTGTTCGCGTACGGAACACATCTAAATATCTTGTGTATCGTGGCGCAATTAATTCGAATGAGGGACACGATCCTGGAAAGTCCGAGGTATGTTTTCTTTTTTTCTTCTTTTTCTTTGCCTTTCCCCTTACCTACCCTTGTTCATTCCCCCTTTTCATGTTTTCTTTTTCCTCGTCCGCCTCGTCCCCTCGAAAAAGCAATACCATACCACCAAAAACAAAACAAAAACGGGAATAAACAAGACAAATCACATCCCCTCAGAACACAGCCCCGACACAAGGCTCCCTCTGGGAGAATAAATCTCCTGGGCACGATATGATAGCCCCCAAACCCAAAACAAAGCCCGCAGCAGACATTTCAGAGAACATGTGAAGTGAGGTAACAGCGCTAACGACCCATCCACAGTCCCAACAAAATCCTCCGATCCTTCCCACCACTAGACGCCAAAGAGATCATCGCCCTGACGGTCCTTATCGTCCGCAAGATCCCCGAGCCGCTGTACGCTGAATTAATCGACCATGCCAAATGATGGCATCACGTTTCTTTCTTTTCCCTGTTTTCCAGCTAGCTAGTCAGCCAGCCAGCTAGCTAGCCACGAAAACCAACCCTACCTACCTACCACCTACCATCTAACCCACCGAATTCGCCACCTACTACTTTACCACCACACGGACCCGGACCCAGACCCAGACCCAAAACAATATTCCGAATTGGGACTAATGTGTCCGTCCCCGTCCGGCCGTCCGTCTTTCCGTCTCCCTACCTGAACCTACTACGCTACATATACTACCCTTTTCACTTTCTCACGTACGCGCCGGATCTAACGATGACCTAATTGAGACGTCTCGTACTTACCCCTTTTGTACTTGTATTTTACGCTTTCTTCCCTTTTCCCTTTCTGTCAATTTTTTTTTTTGAACAATTTCTGGCGTTTTGTTGTTTTTACCTTTCTCATGATAACTAACCTACTAACCTAACCCACTGACTACCATTACTGTATGTATTATTGATTGTTATGAGAGCATGATATCATTGATGGAACTGACTGAGACATGAGGAAAAAAGATGGGAAAAGAAAGAGAAAAAGGAAAAAGAAAGCATATAGGAGAGTCGATTGGTTGATCGACGGAGATGGGGATGTATTTTACTTGGAGATGTTGATTTTTTTGATTGATTGATTGACCATGTTATTTAAGGCTGACTTGACTATGTCAGTCAGTCAGATAGATGAGATGAGATGAGATGAGATGGATGACTCATGAGTGAAATGATGAAATTGATTGAATGCATCATGCCGTGTTTTCATTCCAAATATTGGGTTTGCTTTGATTCAATAGAAGTAACTAATTCATTCCATCTATGTCAATGTATGTGTTGAGTAAGTGTGTTCAGTGAACCCCGTTAACGCCCCCTCGACGCACGCCGTAAATCTCACTCTGAAAAGTCATTGGAAAACCCTCACCTCGCACACATAAGGAGAAGGAAATGAGAAATAAGATCATGCACATATAAAATATGATCACATCCAATACCAGAGCACATCAAACATAATAGTGAACCCAACCCCATGATCCCGTTCTATCCCGGCCTTACCCTCTGCAGTAAATATTGATGATGATAATATATCTGTAGTATATCAATAGTAGCTAGAAGTCAATTCGTCAGAACTAGAGGAAGAGAGACATGCAGCTAAGTAGCCACTGCTTTAGTTCCAGTATTCGATCCATTAACAACCAGAGGCCCGCAGTGCTCGCCCGATTTGGACGACGCTGAAGTCGACGAAGACAGCGACGATGACCTCGGGCTGTTGTTGCCAGGACCATATGGTCCTTGGTTCTTTGCGACCGGGCCGTTCGCGTTGGTCAATGGAACCGAACCGGTGTGTCTGTCGCGGGTCAGGCTGTACGCGAGATGGAGACTCCGGTCAATCTTGACGCGGATTTTCGCGTCCATGAAGTTAATGCCGTTGTACTGCGCTACAACACGCTTGGCTTCATCCGCTGTGCGCAGGGTTACCCGCGCAAAGCCTTTGCAGCGCCCGGTGTCAGGGTCAGTAGACACCTCTGATTGCTCCACAGTGGCGCCGCTTTCTTCAATGAAGGCGCGGAGGAGCTTGTCGGTGGTGGTGGGACTGAGGTTCTGCACGAATATAGTCCGTCGTGGGGAAGAACGGGGGCCTGGGCCCCCGGTGTGGTAGATCTGCGGCGCGAACGCCGGGTTGTAGCCGTAGGAAGCTTTGCCGGACATGTGGGCCCGGCGTCCGGGTAGACTAAAGCCGCCATGTGCTGGGGCCTCAGGGAACGGTGGCGTGGTCGTGAAAGGATATGTGGGGAGAAAGGGAACAGCAAAAGCGTCGCCGAAGGAGTGGCGGAGAGGAGCGGGCGACGGTGGGATGCCTGTTATGGGCTGTTGTGTGACTGGATCTGTGGGGAAAGGCATGAAAGGCTGTTGAGGCATTGCTAGGGGATTGACCATGGGGCCGTAATCAGTGGCTGGATATGTCGGGCAGTTTGGACTGCCGGATAGGATGGGTCTATGAGTTGTCAGTCGTCGCCTGAGGAAGAAGGGGATGCACTTCCTGTACTTACTCGGGGGAAATGGGAGACGGAGGCACTGCCATGTTTTGTGTTGATCGTGGCGGAGTCGAGTAGCCTGGTACATAGTTGGGCGGGATCACGCAAGTTGGACTCTTCGTAGGCCCGGCAATTGGTCGTGTAGGTGAGCTGGTTCGTGCTAATGTGACAACCAGGCTCTGGCCTTCCCAGCCGTTGGTAGAAAGCCTATCTAGAAGCACACTGTCAGCTAGTTTCTGACTATCTGGGTTCCATGACGCACGGTAGGTTCGCCATGCTTCATCTTCGTTCTTCACAATGATCTGGCCAAGACCGGTTGGGAATCCATGCTGGTCATCGTAGACCACGGCCTGACGGATATGTAAGGCTGTCTGGCGGACTAGGTCCTTGAGCTCTTGCCAGCGACAGTGCGCCGGTATCTGCACTCAGGGTTAGACATGGTCGCGTGTATAGGATGTACCACGTGTGAGACATACTCCCTGGAGGAATAGAACGAATTCCTCTTCTGACCTTCCGGATTTTGCCATTCGGCCCTTCTCGCGTGGAGGGAAAGGCATGATAGTGTGGTATAGTAGGGATCGATATGTCAGATCCCCTGAGTGCTCGGAGAATGGATGAAGAGTAGGTGGACCCCGTGAGCTTAAAGCCTGTGATCTTCTGACAAAAGAACTATTTCCGATGATTTTAAGCTCCAATGCGCAGGATGGACTCGGTTAGCAGGGGGGTAGTGACCTAGACGCTAGAATATAAGTATCGGGGTTTGGTCTGACGGTCTCACACCCGGGTAGTATGACCAATGATGCCCAAGGGGATTATGCTTACTGATTCGTCCTTAAAGACCCCGGTCGCTATTCAGAACAATCAGATACGGTTTGAAGAAAAGAAACAGATCCACAGGGAAAATGTAAGAGATCGAGGACCAGTGCTTCGTGGGTTTTATGTCAAGATTGGAAGACAAGCGCCCGAGGGTTGATCGACCTCCTACATCGAAAGCGGCCCACCGAAGGCGAAAAGTGTTGAGGCCAGTGCTGAAGCAGCAGCAGGTAGAGTAAGGAGGGCCAGAATAAGAATAGCAAAGACAGGAAGAATGTCCGAGGGAGTGGAAACGGAGAGGATAGTAGGACCCGTGAGGATAAGATTAGTGGAACGAGGCCAGGAAGCAGAAGGAAAATAGACGAAAGCCACCGATGCATCCGCTGACGAATTAAAAGGGGGCGCAGTTGGTGCTGGAGAGCTTGCGAGGGAATTCCGGGCCTGATGCCTGGAGGAGACTGGGATGGGTCAATTTGGGAGCAGTGGCAGAGGCAGTTGGGAGGAGAAGGTGGTGGTAGTGGTGGTAGTGATCGCAGTCGAGGGATCGAAAGAGGACGGGGCCCAAGCAGGCTGATGATGATATGTCATGCATGATCAACAGTGATGGATAAGAAAAGATGGAGACTCACTATTGAGCTTGAGTGGCCGAATAAAGTGATGGAGCCAAAAAAACCAGATGAGAAGGAAAAAGAAAGAAGTAAGTACAGTAGTTAGTGGATGAGTAAAAGAATGATTGAATGAGGAGATGGGGGAGAAAAGAAATGAATTGAACTGAAAAAAAGAAAAGAAAAAGTAAATATAGTTAGTTGATTAATTGATTAGTTGCTGTATGATGGCTGACTGACTTGCTGGGCATAAACTAAAAACCAGTCATTCAGTCAGCCAGTTCTGTCAATCAGAGCCAGTAAGTTGACGATGAATTAATTGAGAGATTTCTATTTGTAGCAAGAAAGTTAATGATTTCTTCACATAGTCTGCTGCGTGATTGAACTAACTAGCAGCCGGTACTCCTCATGTAGCACCAGGAAAAAAGTACTGTTAGACTACTAGTAGAGAAGCAGTGAGAGAGACAACTCGAAGTACTATATCCTCGAGTTAAAGCTGCAATGATTGATTGGTAAAGATCGGAAAGTAAATGACGATGAGAATGGACACAGTCCCCAACAACAGAAACCCAACCCAACATCATGGATCCAGCCCTTTCCTTCAATGGCACTCTTCAACACCAACTCCAAAATGACCTCCACGGACTCATAACTCATCACTCATCACACCTTTTCCTCTTCATCCGCCGCCTTCATTCCAATACACTCGAGTACGTCACGCTTGGCGGACAGGGTTACACCGCCAGATCTCAGGGCAGCCACAACAACAACAACAACAACAAGGTCTCTGTCCTGTCCAGTCAATCAAGTGAAAAAATTGGTCTCGAATAAAAATATAAAACAAATAGATTAATTAGAAAAATACCAAGAATTGCTGCTGACGGGAAAACCAAAAAAAAAGAGTTGATGGTGGACCATCCGCCCTGCATCGCCCTGAAAGGCAAATGGCATTGTGCTTTTCCGTTAATATCATCCTCATCCTCATCCTCGCCATCGGTCAGCCCTGCGGTGGCCAGAAATATTTCCCCTCAAAGAAGGGCAGCCAACCAAAATAAGTAGAGATCTAATTTTATGTTAGCAGACAGCTGATGCGATACGGAAACAGATGTTTCTTTTTTTGTTCTGCTTTCCCTTCGCATCCCCTTGGCTCACCTTCATCATACTAAGTAAGCAGCACTGCAAGCAAAAATAGAATAACCTCAGCCCTGAAATGGGGATGTGGAGTTACACAGTCGGACTTGTCTCATGTCTGATCATGAAAGGTCAAAGACTGCAGCATCTTCACCCGGACTCGACCTCTCCCCACCTCTTTCCCTTCTCTTTCATCAGGCCTCTCCTCATTGCTGCACTAGTAAGCTCGGGCTAATTGTCTCGGTCTCAGCCCATGTCTCCACAGATGGTAGTCATCCAGGAATGCATCGCAGCAGAGATCAAAACGAAATGAAATGCAGCAACAGCAGACCAGCCAGAGTAACTACCCAAGCAAGTGAGCTTCTCGAGCAGCCTATTGAGCAACAACTTGCGTCTCCCCAGTCGGATCCAGCCTTGCCCCTTGATTCGGTTCTGGGACCACCCAGATTCGGCCGGGAAGATCCCTGAAGCCACCTGCATATGAGGTATCCATTTCCAACAACAGTCGCAATCATCGCCTAAGTAGGTCCGGTGGTCTTGCCGCCCGGGAGTACCTGTCCACTCCATGCATCGAAACCTTGCCACTCCAGTCACCGCCGGCGCTGAGCGATACATCCAAAAGAATGTCACACGGCAGCTGGCCGTGTATTGTTAGAAAGTCTGGTCAGTCACCGGGAAGCGTTGGACGGGAGACACCAACCAACGCCCGGGCAGCAGGCGTCAGGCTCCGGTATCCGCTGCGACCAATGTGGTTTGGTGAGGTGAGACTAGGAGCAATAGGATAGGGGAGGGCTGAAAGTGGATGAGGATGTCATCGGATCCCATTTACGGGAACCTACAGCTGGGAAAAAAGAAATGTAGAACAGAGAGAGGGAGAGAGAGTTATCAGGGAAGCCACTCTAAAACGCCAGGCACTGGATTAAACTGCCGAGATAAGCCGCTGCAATCCGAGTCTAATCTGTCCGCGCCGCGGCCTTGCTTGACTCTTCCGAATCAAGTAGAGGTGGTTGTCTGCTTCAGTCGCCTTAGATCTCGCCTATGAGTGTGAATGATTTGAGTGTGTGTTTGTCCATTTGATTAAGCCTGGCTGAGTCACGATCAAGGCGGCAGATCACAAACTATCTAGCTTACCTTCCCCCAGAAACTCCGCTAAAAATCGATAGTCGGACGATCGACCCATACAACATAGTAGACTTTAGTTGGTGATTAGGCACGCCCTCGCCCTCGCCCTCGCCCTCCGCCCACGGGCCCGCGGCTCTGGTAGGATCTCCCACTAGCAAATACTCGTTGATGACTCCATACCCAACCAGGCGAACAATCTAGAAGGGATCGAGGAATTCGTGACCCATCGGGATCCCGGGGACCTAAAAAAATTGAAGCTAGACTAGAGGATGCTATCCGTCGTGGCTGGCTCAAGATCTCTCTCTCCACTTGAGATGGAACCATCTTGAAATCTTCATATTCCCGATCAGGGAAGACGCTGAATGTTCCTGGTGGATTACTTACTTACCGGTCTCGGTCGCGTGGACGACTAAGCTTTGATCGTGTCACTGCCGTACGAGGAGGTTAAAATGTCCTGTCGCTCCGTGCCTGGTCGCGCCTACCGATTACATACATGAGCAGCACAGTAGCCTGCGGACTATTGAACACTACGACCTATTCCATGTCTGCGTGGGACCCCGATAATGTGAAGATGGGATCTCTTGTGATCGTAGCTACGGGGCGTAATCGCTGTTCTGCTGTGGAGCGAAAACCTAAGATTATTGCTTAGTTTCTTTGGATCGTAACGTTGCTGTGATACTGAATCTCGAAGTCATGACTTACCTTCCTGTCTGAGACTGGCCGAATTGGGAGATCCGGTCGATCGCCCTCGATTCCTCAGGACAACAACTCACTAGATTCAGACAACTACCATGGAACGGAGCTCTGAGGAACGAGCTCTACCTGTCACATGCAATGGGACATAGCGGCCACCGACTGGATCGCAATTGGCAATGCCATTCCTGTCACCTATCGAGGCTCACTCGGGGATTATCTGACATTTCCGCTGACACGGTGACCATGGGATAAATCGTCTGCCGACCATGACATCGGGCAGACCGTTCTGCAATACTTGAGGTTTTATACAGTACCACGCACATATGCGCGCACATGATGCCTTCACCCTGGGTGACACCATCAAGTTGATTATCTGAGCTCTCCAGCGCACAGCCACCCATTGCAGTAAGCCAATCCTGAGGCTTTCTCCCGTCCCCTCATCGCCCCCTTCTGCCCTTTAGGTGTTTTCCTCCCATCGCTCGCTCAGTGCTAACCCCGATACTAGCACCATAGCACGGTGGACCCCGAGCAAAGTAGACGAGACGATGAAACGAGGCCAAACCCACGACTGAAATGAGCCACGACCCACTGATCAGCGACACCCACCATTGCCGACACCACAAAAGGGGTCGGTCAAGCAATCTTTCGGGTGTGGCTTGAAGGGCCGCCCGTCACAACCTCCATTAGGTAATCCAGCGTGAATTTCCTCTCTTTGCTAACTAACTATCTTAGTCTGCAAAAGCAAAAGCTAGTTTAATGTGAGTGATCTCCGTTGTCCCAGACGGCTGACTTGCTTGTCCCTGACTCGCTCGGGGTTCGAATCGGGTTCTGAACTTCTGATACAACACAAGCGTGACAAGACGACTGCCATCGATCCGATCACGGCGTCTCTCATGCGGGGCAACGCCAAAGTACTTACGGAGTACTTTGCTCACACTTACGTGTCCGTGTTACAGGCAACCAGGCTAATGTCCCATCACTGTAAGGGGGAAGAGGAGGAAGAGGGGTGGGTGGCAAAGGGAAAGGAAACAATGGAGGGGTAAAAGGTCCGTGGACGGACCCCCCATGTAATACCTAGTATACGGACTTTACCGTCGTTGTTTGCTTGTGGTTGTCGTCACGCTCAAAAGTCGGGGGAATAAAAAGAAAAGGAATAGAGGAAAGAAGACGAGAGGGGGGGGTTCAGCTTTCCCCCCCTCCTTGGCGCCAAAATACGGAGAAAAAATCCCAGGAATTACGGGGTTTAGGCATTACACGAACTACGGGGTAGACACCAGTCCAACCAACTAAAACCTACCACCTACTGACAATTACAGTTAGTAGGGACTCAGTATCTACATGCTACTAACCCAACAGGGAGTACGCTCAGTACTCACATTTGGGACTCCGCTTAACGCTAGTCAGAGCTAGCTTGAGAACCGGTGCTCTTAGTTCTTTTGCCCAGCGTTTAAGACCAGAATTACCAGTAATAATAGCAGCAGCAGCAGGGGCAGGAAGGAGCAGTAGCAGAGAGAAAGAGGAAAAAAAAAAATTGGAGAGCGAAAATGAGAGAATAGGACCATGCTATTCTCTCACCACAGTACCTACCTACCTACCCCTTCAAATTAAATCTCCAAAACCCAAAGAAAGTAATACTACCAAAACCACTCAGATAAGTCAAATAGTTTAAGATAGATAGGACAGATAACTAGCAATACCTGAAACAAACAAACAAACCATTAAACCACCACATTCCGAACAAGCGGGATCATCCCGCGTCCCAGCCCATCCCTACTGTATCTATCTATCTAGTACTATAGTATTTATCAGCCCCGGACCATAACGCGCGCGTGGCTTGAGCACCAACGCAGTACACTGAACCCCAATTAGTCCATTCGTTCCTTTCCTCCTTCAGTCAGTAAGCAAGTACAGTAATAACGAATAAGTAATATGTTCGTATCTACTACACTCCACAGTAAGTAAGTAAGTAGTATCCCAGCCGATGATCCCCTTCCTCCCTGTCCGCCGCCCGTCTCTCTCTCTCCCTATCTTTTTCTTTCCGGGGGGAGAAGATTAGCGTTTAGGCTCTCGGGATTTACATTACGATTGGCACGGCGCATGGATTATGTATGTGTGTATGTATGTATGTTTGTCACAGGATGAAGAAGGGGGGAAGGAAATTGAAATCGGGAATTGGAATTGGGGTTGAAATCTGGGGATTAATTGCATCATTGTGCTTAAGGATCTGTCATTCTTTGCATGCCGGATGGGTTTCGGGTGAGGGGTTATTAGTTTTTAGATTTTACTTGGTTGGTGGTTATTATTTGTATGTATGTGTGTAGGTAGGTAGGTAGGTAGGGGTTTGATTTGAGATAGATGGGATGATGGGGATGGAGATTAAGTGATTTGAGTTTGAAGTGGTCTGCAGAGCTTGATTGCATTGCTTGTTTCTTTTTACTTGGTAATGTAGTTACTACTGTTTAGGTAGGTAGGTAGTGTGGTAGTGTGGTAGATTTCGCTAATATGACTATATGTTTGTATTGGTATTGTGGAAATTGGAAGAGTTGAGAGTTGAAGGTAACAAAGACATGGTGTATGTAGATCATTTGTGTCGTCTTTCACACAATAGAATCCAAACGGTAAACAAATAACCCCCCTTTCCAAGTAACAAATCAAGATAAAGCAAGTACAGGGTATCATAGTAGGCTAGGCTAAGGTAGCAGGCAAGCAATTCTTTCAAACCAATTCACAAAACAGTAATAATATCTCCAATTTCAACGGCAAAGAAAAATTCCTCGGTGCGGTATGGTGCGAGTGGCGGGGATGGAAGGAATTGGACGATCATCATTGAGCGGAGCGCTGTTCGCATGGAGAGTGGGACTCTGCTCAACGAGATGATCATCATCAGCCCTCGCCCCTCGCCCCTCCCCCCTGCCTGGTCGGTGACACCGCCACGCGGCCCCGCGCCAATACAAATTCCAATTCCACATGCTGAATTTAATATTCGCGTAATGTAGGGCGCGTTGCGGGGTGGAGGAGGAAGGAGGTTCGATATTTGCAGTCGCGGTTGTGTATGTTTGATTTGCGACAGCACATGAATCGCGCCAATTTGCGAAATAATCGGCAGGGCACCGAGGAACACAACCAGATTCAATAGCTAGTATCCATATAGGGTAAACGGGTGACGCAGGAGTACAGGATCAACATGCGCAAACCCTCACTCAATCAGACACAACAAAGAATCAACAATCTGTGCCAGCACAGTAACATTGGTCCCGAGTAATGCATTGTTGGGTTGAGTAAACGGCGAGGCGAAGAAAGGGTGTAGAACCAGCATTTGTCACGTCGAAAGTCGGCTTTGTCTTCTCACTCGTCTCCGCCCGTTGTGGAATCCCACCATCGAGCTGGGATAGCGGTAGAGCGGACGAAATAATTGTGTCGCTTTGTCGGTGGTAGTAGTAGTAGTGGTGTTGTCCCTTCTCTCATTTCCTTGAGTTCGCAGAGAAACGTGGGTTGGTTGGCTAGTCCGAGTTGAGGGCTTCAGCGAATGAAGCCGACCATGGATGCGCAGCGACTGCAGTAGTAGGAATTCATGCCGAAACGAACCACGCCGGGAGAGGATTCGTTTTCGAGACTCATAGATCGTTGACAGCGAGAGCAGCGCACAATGTCGAAATTCATGGAGCCGGGGGTCGAGCCAGTCGGGGATGTGACCCCCTTTGTGGCGCCGGAAGGTTGCGGTTGAACTTGCACCGAGGAAGAGCTCATCTTCTCCTTTCCGCTCCGGTTGGGGGTTCGAAAGAAAAAAAGATGAGCTTGGTGGTGACCAGTGAAGTTGGGCGCAATTTCGATATCCGAAGTTCTGCAAAAATGGGGGACCGAGAAAGGTCGAAAATGGTTTTTGGAGAATGGGGGGTGGAGGGGAGGATGAGTGGTTATTTAGGCACGTTCAACTGGGTGGCGGAGTCGATTAGATTGTCTTGGGAAAACACGGAAATACAACGGCGATAGCGTTGTATGGTTCTGGTAGTGCCCGGGTAGCTTTGGTAGCTTAGTAGGCAGCAGAGATTGACCACGTGTGAAAGGAACAACAAGAAGGAGGAAGAATAAGTTCCAGACGACAGTGAAATAATAGGCAGAAGAGTTAAAAAGGAGTGACCGGAGAATCGAGCTGGGTTGGGAAGTAGTGACTGGAAGGTATCTATACTACCAGAGCCCAGCGCCAAGCGAAGTGCTCAGGGTCAGATCGATCCACTTTTTTCCGCGCCTGTTTTGCACCGGCCTGAGCTAGTTGGGTAAAATAATAGTCCTTTATATTATTTTCTGACGAGGCACAGGGGAAAGGAGGAGGCGGCGTTTGGAGGGAGGGCAGAAAAAAAAAATAAAAAAAAAATAAAAAAAAAATAAAATGATAAATAAACGAAAATGAGAAAAAAAAAATTATAAAATAGTAGTTTTTTTTTATGTCTCTCTTTTAAAAATAAAATCGACCCAAGACAGGGGGACGGTCGAGCTTCAAGAGACTAATAATAAGAATGAGGCTAGCAATCAATACCGATTGAGGGATAAGGCAGCCGATAGTTCTTGTGAGAAAGCTGCTGCTGCTGCACGGAATGTGGATGCCAGTTTCAGAGTTGAATCTGGAGGATGTCAACCATGAAGAGATGGAGGGGGAGGGAAGGCGAGGATCAGTCCTTCATGTATGTAGGCCGGATTCCTCTGCAACGGAATGACGATGTTAATATCCTGGTCTCAGGTTGTGTGTAGAACGACGACATGCCATGACATGAGAGGTGGCCGATTCTTATGACTTGAACCTGTTGAGGGGGGAAAGTTGAGTGTGGTCTTGTCTTGTCTTGTCCTGTTCTGTCCTGTTCTGCTCTGGTCGGGTTTGTCTCACAGGCTGCCCGTAATTTTAGTTCCGGGTCGTCTGGAGGTACCAGGGCATGCTGGAAGTTACCAGACGGTTACCGACACCATCCACCGGTGCGTTGACTGACCGTTTCCTTTTCCTGCCTTGAGTTTCCTGCCCTCCCCGGTCGCATTATGGTTCTTCGGGGACCAGTAGAGTCGATCGATTAGAGATCGGTCGACAATAACGATGTGATCTAATTCATTGTCTTTTTAATATGATTCTCTTTTCAATTTTGACTTTCAACTGTCCTATCGTCATTTTTCAAGCAATGCCAGTATCCTGCATAGATTACAAGCCACTACTTACGTATGTAGTGCTAGGGTTCTGGTTATATTCTTGCTCTGTTGAAAGTGCAGCTGCCACAGGACTGACTGACTGACCTAATTACTAGATAATCATCAACCTATAACATAACTGTACTTTTACTTACGCTTGCTTGCCTTCTACCTCACATGCAGGCCAGCGAGGCTTGGTTTGGCTGCGTCAACCACCCCTCGTCCGCACATCGTGGCTTTTTCTCCTCTCGTTGGTGCTTCGCTCCCAAAGCCGAGGGTCGTGTCGTCATGACTGATCCTGGTGGATGGAGTCGTCCGGGGCGATCGCCTGGACTGTTAGTATTGGGTACTGGTTTCGATCTGCCATTCTCCTCTTCCCTCAGGAACACTCGTGGCCTTGCTGTACTTGTGGTTCGACAAATGAGAGCCCGAAGGGCCGGTAATCGGCGTATCGGTTCGCCCTCGCTGGTCACCTCCACCACCTCCACTGTTCCGTTCCCACTATCTTTTGTGCCTTAGTCATGCTAAGTCGGTCCAACGCACGAGATATGGGGCTATTGGAATTTTTGCAAGGGCATATGAAAATGGTGAAAAAAGAGAAAGAGAATATTAAGTGGACCATTACACCTTGGCGGAGCATGGGGTACCCTGGTGTCCTGGTGCCTTTTTTTTTTTTGCCCTATTTTATGTCTTTCAGTGGCTGCCTGTCACTGCTGAACCCAACTAAACCTCCATTGAACAAGTGTCAGTCCCAAACACGCTGCTGAGTGGGTGAACCATGATACCATTCTACGGGTCTCCCAGGCTGTCGGAAGTACGGCGCTACCAGGAATCTACCATGGTCATGTTTCCGGAAAAAGTAAGCCTCAGCTGCTCGATTGCAGTCTGCGATTGGTAGACCATGGATCGTAGCTATCATCATTATGATCTCTCCATGACAACCAGAACCCTGTCGATTATTCATCATTCAAAAAAGTTCCTTTTGGTCAAATTACCATCAAAGTATTCCGTACAAAGGTCAGACATGAACCCATCATTTGCCAATATTACCTCAGCCTCGTGCAAAGACCTGCGGCTGTGTTGCATACCATGACTCGCGAGGCGGTTACGGGCTCCACCCCGGGCGTTTCAGACTCTTCTGTCAGACATTGAAAGGATCCCCCCTCCAGTCGCCATGCCATGTCCATCATTCCTCGCCAGTTTTATCGGGCAGTCGATCCATGCTGTCCGGTTTAAGGCATTTGGACAGTTTCATACCTCCTGATGCAATATCGGCGTAGGCATATACGGACCATAGGAATGTTCTACCGGCTCGGGCCTTTCCCAGCTGCCTAACTATCCAGTAGCAGCACCACTATCCTGAGTTATCCATCCGGGCGCAGTGGACATTCCTTGATCGCCCGTCATTCGGCTTTCAACGGAACCCGTTTCCGTGCTCTCACTCTGCGCCGTCGTTGTCGTTTGCTGCACCCCGGGGGCTAGCGGATGGTCTGATCCATTTTTTCCCTCAGCAGGCTGTCTGCTGGACCAAAAATACCTGATTCATTTCGTATCTCGAATTGCGCTTGGGAACCCAGCCAAAGCCGGCTTGTCTTGGTAAGTGTGGCTAGCGAGCTAGCTGCAGTCGATTTCTTCTTCCTTCACAGTGGGGAAAGGGAAACCCAGCCGAAAACCCGAATCCCTACTCCCGTTCCCCTACCCTGCCATGCATTATTGGGGGAGGGGACGGAGTGAGCTAGTTGGCCTGAGATCCATGCCTGCGGTGTCGAGCACCGCAGATGCTTGACTCCTTTTTCCTTCGTGCGTGTGCATTTCGAGGGCCGTGAGATCCTTGAGGCATTTTCTGCTTATGTACGGGGTAGGATCCTTGTGCTATTTTTGTTGATCTCTCACTCTCTTGCTTCGTAGTGTCCGGTAATTCGCCGATCCGCAATGGCCCTGCAACTACAGACTAGATGCCTTTTCATCCCAGCATCACGGCTAATCACCAAGAATGGAAATGATGACAGCTATGGACTTTAGGTCGGATGTTCATTTTGGTAACACCAACCACCAACCACCATCCCGGAACGCTTCGCTGTACCTAGCAATCCATACAGCACCCCATCTGTACTTCATTCCCCTCTTCAAACCCCACTTTGAAAAAGGATAATGCTGGCTGCTGCTCCAGGTGCAGCAGTATAACCTGTAGCCACATCCTATAGTCTTCCTATTCTGCATACGGGGACTGGAAAAGACAGGTCGTCTGGTGCAGAGGGAAGGATGCACGGCAGGTCCGTGTCACCTGATATGCCTTGCCCATGCATCATTTTCTGTCAAACGGGCATAGCCACGAGTCATGGCCTATGGAAATTTTTGACGTACTCTAGGACCGGGATCACGGCCTCAGAAAAAGGAAGTAGACCTGCATACTTTACCGTGCGTAAAACTATCACCCCAGATCCATGCATTGGCCGTATGGAAACGATGTATGTATTGAGGTTGATACCATACTCACGATGGCTACGGGAGTTGCGGAAGTCAGGCACATGTATTTTATTTTCTTTCTCAACAGTGCCGCTTTTTCCTTCTCGTCTCCATAGCGATTCAGAGGATGGCCTGCTTGACTTCCGGGCTTTTCCACAACTCTTCAGGCTCTTACGGGGCAAAATAGGGCCATTGCGATGATGGTGCCGACCTGCACCGATGCACTGATACCGCTAGTTTAGGACAGTCACCGGGTGCCAGCATTGCCTTATGGAGGTCATCCTACTGCTGGATTCTTCTCTGGCATCTGCAGGATGGTGTAATCGCGCGTGAGCATCCGGTCCGCACCCCGTTGGCGGTAATGCACGAGGACTAAAACGTCAGTGCCTACGACTTGTCCTATCTACTTTGTATCTTTCTTTCCCATCATTTGAGTGGTGGTGTTCAACCGCCGAGGGTCCAACACTGCCAATCATCATCGGTAATGCTTTAGTCACAATGCAGCGGTAATTTTATGAGTTACTTAGCAGCATTCCGTACTAGCTAGTGAGTTAGTAAGTGGATAGTTGTAAATCAGTAGGTTGAAGCTTCCCAGTTCCTCCCACTACAGACAGCGAGACGTTACGGTGACATCATCTCACATGCATCGGTTTCTCTTTCGTGTTCCCTTCCCCTCCATTGAACGACCAGGAACCGACGAGGCATCAAAACAGGGAAATCTCGCAATTTACGAACAATGGTGTTTATTCAGTATTCCCGTCTCTTCAAAGCTTCCGAGGTGGGATGAGAGCATAAGACGAGCGAGAGAGAACCTCGCCGAATATCCGAGCCTGAGAAGTCGAGATAGGAACTCTTCTCTTATCGAGCGGGTCACAATCCATCAAACTCGTTCCTGCAAAAGAGCTTCCCTTCCAGTTCCCTCCCTTCCCCCCTTGGTTATGGCATCAACAACGACGTCATGGTTAGGGTCTGGGACTGCCAGATCTTCCTTCCCGACTGACCATCGCGCAATTCTAGATGATCTAGTCCTACACACCAGTATCAACTGACAACCCGACATTGTAACCAGTGACTCGTCAATCCATGGGAAGCGACCGTCACTAGCGTCTTTCTGACGAAGATTGGGTGGCCCCCCTCCTCTTTCCCTTCTTTTCCCTATCTCCCAGGCAATAATGCTATCCACATCATGATGCTGTAAGAGAAAAACAATAATAATGATGATGGGGGGTTTCCTGGACTGGCTTGTGGATGGCGCAGGAACGTGTTCCCAGATTGCGCCCGGGTTGTGATTCGCTTTCGGCAGGTACGGAGTCTTTCCAGTGTCTCCTCTGCTGCCCCGCCACACCCCGCCTGAAGCTGTTGACCGAAAACCACCACCACCACCAACTACCTACCAACTACCAAGTAACCAGCGACCGAGAATACTACCCTTTCTTCTCTTCTTCCAACTCGTGAATTTTCCCATCTTACTTCTCTCCCTAACCCCCATCTCACCCGCGTCTTATCTAGCCGTAACAATGGCCGGATCTGCTCCCAACCTCTACAGTTTCCCTAACAACGACGCTTTGGCCCAGCAATTGAGGCCCTACGTCTTGCGGTGTCAGAACTCGGCCCTCAGCCGTCACAGCACATTCCGCGTCGCAGTCTCTGGTGGCTCCCTTCCGAAAGTCCTCGCCCAAGCTCTGCTGGCCCCTGGAAATGGCTCCCCCGAGGATACCGCTCAGTTCTCCAAGTGGGACATCTTTTTTGCTGATGAGCGCGCCGTGCCCCTCGATCACGAAGACAGCAACTACCGCCTGCTGAAGGAAGAGCTACTGAACAAGATCCCCTCGGAACTGGGTGCCCCGACCGTGCACACGATCGACGCCGATCACGTCAATGATGACGACCCGCAGGAACTGGCGGATTTGTACCAGGAAGAGCTGATGCGCTCCTTTGCCGCCAAGGATAGCGTCAAGCTGCCCGTTTTCGATCTGATCCTACTGGGATGTGGCCCCGACGGCCACACTTGCAGTCTCTTCCCCGGACACGAATTGCTGCGGGAGAAGGATTCCTGGGTGGCTGCCATCAGCGACTCTCCTAAGCCGCCCCCGAAGCGCATTACTCTGACTTTGCCCGTGGTGACTCACGCCCTTAACGTCGCCTTTGTCGCTACTGGCGGTGGAAAGAAGGACATCATGAAGCAGATCTTTGACGCTGAGGAGGGGAGAGACCTACCCTCCGCTCTCGTCAACCAGGGTGGTGGCGAGAAGGTGAGCTGGTTTACCGATAATGCAGCCGTGGAGGGAGTCGCTTTCCCCCGTCGTGGAAGCCTGTAACTTAAAAGTGGGAATGGTACGAAACTGCTTTCATATGATGGCTGGGGTGAAGGATAAGAGGGAGAGAGTCATGGCGAGGCTACGGAAGGATTCAACTAATCTCAAAAGGGCCCCCTGAGCTTTACTATTATTCGACTACCTGTATTACCAGAGTAAGGGGGACGGCTTAGGACCACGTATGTTCAAGGCTGGATGAACTGTTCATTGCCTCTTATCTTCTAGCTGTTGGAGGGTTTCTTCTTAGACCTGCCAAAAGTTTGTGTTATCGTTATCCTTCTGATATCACAGACAGGTCTTAATTGAATGAATGAGGATGATTCTATAATCGTATTCGAGCTATCTGTTTCTATTACTGAATAGCGAAAAGAAACTCCACCTATCCCCGGAGTAGCCATGTAGACATGCATAGGGAATGAATGAATGATAGCTGTCCATGCAGATGAGCTCGATCCACCTGACGCGGTGCCAAGCTTTGCCCTGGGGGAAAGCGGAACTTCACCGCAAGACGGGCAACCACGGACCTGCCGTCCTCAGCTGAGCTCAGGCCTCGTCTATTTACAACGACGGTTTCCGGGCAGCGTATCTATTCCTCCCGGCAAAGCCCCGTCTTGGACTGATCTGATTGCAATCAGTCGAATCTCACTCATATGATTTGATCTTCAGCAATCATGCCAATTCCAACGCGTTCCCTTTCGCTTCGTGAGCCCCGCAAACAAGTTAGTGTCGCATCTGCTAGTAGCCCATTCCACTATCCCTTCCCCCTAGCGCCCATGAGAGCTACCCATCCCTCGCATGCTTTTGCTCTCCACCAACACTACTGACGTCTGTTATCATCAAAAAGAACTCTACTACAGTGCGCACAACGACGACGGGTAAGCCAGCATCAACGACTTCGACATCAGCAACCAGCACATCTTCCAGCGCTGCGACCAGCACCGAGAACCTCGTGACGCGGAGCAAGAGCCTCCTGCCTATTCGCGATGAGGGACGTGCGACAAGATCCTCTCGTCTACAACCACCGTCTGAGCCCCGCGTATCCCAGCGGCCTAGCAAGCCTTCAGATAAGGTCCCGCAATCGCAGCAGCCCGCTCAAGAGAATACCGGTATCACCCGTCGCCAAAGCCTGATCAGACCGAGCCCGCTGAAGCCTTCGGCACCTCTGAAGCCTACCTCTACCTCGTCCAGAAGGCCTACCGTTGCTCCAAGTCTGTCATCGCCGATTAAACAGGAGATACCATCCAGACAGAATGGACGACCTTTATCGCCGAAGAAAATCGAGACATCCGCGAGACAAAATGGACGGCCTTTGTCCCCGAAGAAAACCGATATGCCTCCGCCTCCGCGACTTGCCCGGTCGGCTTCTCTCAGACAGCCTGCTGCCTCGAGCTCGAGCACGCCATCCGTGACTAGAGGTCATGCGCGGCATCGCAGCCAGGGAATCGGGCTACCTTCGGGGCCTCAATCTCCGAGGAAAGTTGACCCTCCTTCGCCATTCCCTACCTCCGCCACTGTACGGTCACGGGCTCAGCTCTCGACCTACCAACAACCGCTCTCCCCAAAGAAGGTGGCTAAGCCAACGACTGCAACACAAGCGGCAGAGTCGCCCGCCGTGGATGCAGATTCCTCGTTACTTCCTTCGTCTTGGCCGGAGATTGCAGCGCTACAAACTGAACTCTTACAATTGAGCTTGGTGCACTTGTCTTCGTGCAAACAACACATTGAATGGGAGACTACCGTTGAAGCACGACTACGGAGCGATTATAATTCAGTGGCAAGCGACTATCGAGCGGCCCTAGGCGATGAGAAAGAGTACCAGAGACAGCTCAACGGGCATGCGTTGCATCACTGGCTTGAGAACACGCGTGAGCGCAATGAGCAACGAGGGTTTGCAGAGCAGACACGGGTACTTTCTCAAGTAGCAGAGGAAGTCTACAATCTCTCTGACAACTTGGAAGGACGGCACACAGTGGCTGTCCAGGATTTCGAAGCCTGGTTTCAAAGAGTTGAGGAGATACGGACATTTCGTCTTCATCATGGTCGCAACTTGGACCAGGTAGTTTTTGTCGATCCCTTGAACCATGGTTGGCGGGACGAGACATCTGCTTTGGTCATGAAGCTTGAACTGTGCCTGAGACAACTGCAGAGCCTGGACATTCTTGGATATGGCGATCCGGGTCCTTTAGGCGACTCCGCGCTGTTTCGGACAGCCAAGGGGCTAGAAGAAATGGCCAGCATGATGGTTGAGGAACTGAACACGATCCGTAAGATTGAAAGCGACGTCGTAAAGTCAGAACGCGAGTGGGTTAGTCAGCTGGCCCGGCAATTGACTGCAAATCCGGCACATGATCGGAAGGTTCCAGCAGTTGGAATGTGGAGACGGCCGTCGTTGAACTCGTGAATTTCGCTGTACGCCGAAGAATTGGGGCGAAGGTCAAACTGGAAGGAACCTGTTACGGTCAACCTGTTCCGTTATCGAACCCTATCTTCCCCAGGGGTATAGCATGCAGTTTACTGCTTCTGCCGGATCTACTAGCGTAAGCGGAATCGAACCATGGGACCGATTCGCAGGCACCGTCTGCATAGCCAGGCATGCATGTGTCATCCAAGGACCCAAAAACCGGTTCTCGCAGAAGTCCTGTTTTCAACGAGAGAGCAAAATCATTCGCCAGAATTCCGCGCTAGCCCTTCCTAGGCGGGCTTCTGGCCAGCGGCCGGACAACATTCGGGGTGCTTAACGATACTACGGCCGGTTATCATAGCCTCTTGAGATTCTAGAAGCTCAACCATCCCACTTTAATTCTTGATTTTGGGGAGACGGCTGGAGCAAACCTGTTCACCCGACCAGCGACCTCTCGCGCGCTTGTGTAAAAGGGAGAAAGGGAGGAGAGGGAGCGTGCGATGGCCTGGGTTTAGATCCCCTTGTCCGATGCTCGGGGTGTCCGTTCTCTTGCATGTTCCGTGAGAGTCTAAGCTGTTCTTTCCCCTCCAAAGAATCGGTCTGCGCTGTTTATGAATCTGTGCTACCAATGGCCATGTTTCACCGCGGAAAGGTCTACAGCAGTTCAGGCCTCGGCTTGCGACAAGCATGATAAATTTGACCGCTGGCTACATCAAGCTCTGCCTTGTGTTATTCCGCGGACGTTGTGCACATCCGTGCAGATCGCTTGGGTAAATGTGGAACCCTCGAATGTCTGATGATGAGCCCAACGTACTAAAGGAGACGGGGAGGAAACAAACAGGTTCTTCTCTGGCTATTTCCAGACCGGATTTCCAGAGCTCAAATTGGAGCGCTCCGATGTAGGCTCAACCCGTGCGTATAGATACTGTCGAGGCAAATAGTAATGAATCACCTCTTGGTTACACCCCGGAGACGAGGAGGGGTAAATGACTACCGATTCCCTGAAGCGTAGGAAGGAGAACAGGGAGTGTACACGTAAACTGCTCCCAACCAGGGAGTAGGAGGTATTGGATGTCTGGCTCTCTGATCGAGGTTTAGTTTATATACAATCCTGCCATCCGCCAAACTCCCCATTTTAGCGCGGCCAGTGACTAAGCAACGTGGGGAGAGGTGTCGTCATTGACGTTGGTCTTTCCGAAGCAGCACCACAACTGGAACGGGATTGTGTCTGGATCTCGAACGAACTTTTTGGAGTGACACCCTCGGGTGGTATCTACCCTAGTCAACCCGATTAAGCTTCACCCAGAGCCAACCGTAACCTCTCCTTCAGTTCTTCCTCTAAGAATAATCCACTCCCAGTCCAACTAAACTACTTTGACTAGGGCAGGCAGACAAGGCTCCACCTCAGCGGTGTAACTCCTTTTGGTCAACGATGCCTATTGCTTCAGCTACACACCTTCGCAGCTGGAGCCCAACAGACTACTGTGGGATCTAATGCACCTCCTGGCGCTGGCCCTCCTCCCCCCCTTGTGCATTGGATTCCTCTCGACTCAGTCCATCGACGATCGGGGACTCTCCTGAATGGGTAAGACTAGATGTGCTCGGGAATCCTGTGAAAGAATGAGGGGGTAAGGGAGGGAACGAGGACCATTGGATGAGTCTTCCTGTAGGATGGAAGAGTAGGTTGTCAGTTACTAGTCAATTAGTTTTCTCTGTAGGAGCCGTAGTTGGTAGTTTACTACTACTACTACTACTACTACTACTACTACCTACCTACCTACTATATAAGTCGAGTCCTGTATCGTCCGGAATTCTTTCCCCCTCTCCCTTCCCTCTTCCCCCCAAAATTGGAGACATTTTCCTGCATGTATCCTGCAAAGTACTAGTTCGGGACTTTCTATCTATTTGTCTGTGTCTTTCTTTCTTTTTTCTTTTATTTTTTTCTTGACTCGAAAGATAGTATTTAGTGTACCAACAGTGATGGGTCCCAAAGTTTATGCAGTGTTTGACGTGGTTGTGACCTGAGCTGGTGGTGCCTTGGGTGCATTTCTCCTCTCTCTTCCTCTATTCTTCCCCCCGATAGCCTGGGCCCGGTGGAGCTGAGCTTGTGCTGGTTCCTTTTCCCCTCTTGCTTGCTTGTTCTTCCCGCCAGTGTCTGTCTGTCTGTCTGTCTGTCTGTCTCTCACTTTCTTGCCGTCTTTCTCTGTCCTCTTCCATCTTGTTCTTCGGCTTCCCCTCCAACTAACGGGACAAAGTACGAAGTGCCAAGTAGCGCCAATTACCATAGAACGTCTTCATCTTTCCCACCCCCAACAAAACCCATCTACTGCTGGTATGTAACACCCCACGTTCAATTTGTTTTCCTTTTCTTTTATTCTCTGTTTTGATGGTCACTACCTGTCACGGTTGTCAACCCCAAACCTTTTCCCGAGCTGGACGGTGGTGATTGATTGTGTTGTGTTGTGTTGTGTTGGGGATCCTTTTGACTTATCAATCCCGAGGGAATGAGTGTCTGGACCGTTCGCCATCCTCCCGTCACCACCACCCACCCACCACCACCTTAGCCTTTTTTTCTTCTCCTCTCCTTTTTCGTCTCGCTTTCTTCTTTCCCTATTGAAATCACTCACGCTACTCTCTCTACTCCACTGGCTATTTTTCTTCCTCTTGCTTTCTTCTCATCTGACACTGTGATTCTCCTTCCCCTTCCTGAC